AGGGGCTTCATCCCTGGGTGCAGGGAGAGTGGGAGGCAATTATCTGTGGAAGTCTTGCCCCTGCAGCACGTAGCAAATTAGTGTCCCTGTGTGTGTGCGCGTGTGTGTGTATGGAGGTGGGGGGTCAGCCAGGTTCTTACAAACGACAGGCCCTCTGTAGGCCCTCCTGGCCATTGTATCATCATGTATCATTCTTCATCCGGAAATGTGCTACGCCCGGAAGTACATACCAAAGTACAACTTCCTGCAGTGACATCAAATGTGTTAGGCTTTCGATCCTCAGGCAAGGAATCAGGAGGGACCCCGGCTCCTCTGGTCGCTGGCTCCCCTTTGATGTTCCCCTAGTTCTTCTTCTTCCCGAGCTGCCGGTTTGGTTTATTCGTCTAGGCTTGCTCGGCCTTCGGCATCCTGGAGGTGGGGCAGCAACAGTGGGGACCACGCTAACAGCAGAGCTCTTCTGTTCCCTTTCACCTGCTCCCTGATCAGCGCTCTGCAAACACGGCCCCTAATTCCGTGACAAACCCACAGCACCCCCCCCGCCCCGCCCCCCCTCCCAAGGCCGTGCAGGGGGATGTGTGTCAGGATGGAGCCTGGCCAGTCCCGGCCTCCGGAGGCCAGGCTTGTAGATAACTCTGCTGCTCTGTTACTTCAGAGCGTCCACGGCCGCGCTCATTTTCTGCAGCTGGAACATGTAGGGCATATTGGTCAGAAGTCTGTATGTTTGCTTTTGTGGTGGGATCTCTGGGCACTTAATGGCAGGGATTTTCTGAAATATTTTTAGGTGCAGACCCGCAGGGCCATTTTTCTTCCTTATCTCCGTGCTAGTGTATAATAGGAGCTGTATTATGGCTCTAATGTACTCGAATTGAGCTTCTGGAGGGATGCCAGGACCACGTTTGGACAAAAAGCCCTGTTGGAAAGACTTGGGTGGGGGTGGGGGCTGGGAGGCCCATCGGTCACAGAGCCGTCTCTTGGCAGGGACCCGACCCTCACTTTCCTTTAACGCAGTCAAGGCCCTGGAACTCAGGCTTCGATGGCCTCCCTCCATCTAATACTGCATCCCAGTCCATAATTAGTAATGATTATTATTAAAGTTATCTCTGCTACTTACTGAGCATCTACTACGTGTCAAGGACAGCCCAAGCTACTTTGCAAATGCTCTTGCATTAATCATCACAGTAACACTGTCCTGTAGGGAGTCTTGCTGTCTCTGTTTACAAAGAAACTGAGGCTCAGAAGGTGGAGGTACCTTCCCCAGGGTTGCGAGGGTGAGGGGGGCTCACCTCTAGAGCCTCGTTGGCAGGCAGACAGCTTCCCATACGCTCTCCTGTCTCCTCAGTCCTCTCAGCTGAACCTCCCGTACACAATCCATTTCCAAATTGAGGGGAGCACAGCACAGAGCCACGCCCCCAACTCCCGTCCCACCGGCTGCTCCCCTCTGCCCACTCCCAGCCCAGGTGTCCTCTTGTTTTCTGACCTGGTGTCTGGTCAGGATAGACCGCAGATTCTTTGCACTGTGATGGGACAGGAGGAACGGGACCCTGAGCTTTGCCTGTGTGTCTGTGGGGCGCCGGCAGCGGGCTCTGCCCAGGGCATTGAGGGATTCCTTCTGTCTCTAGAGATCAAGGCCAGAGGAAGCAGACATGCCTCATTAACTAGTTTTCTCAGCCTATAAAAAGCAGTGAAACCTCTTGAGGCTTCCAGACCCCGCCGCCCCCACCCACGAGGCTGCTCTGCAGCACCTTTCCGAAGCCCTGGTACTGCTCTGGGGGCCTGCTGATACTCAGATGTAGTGCCCAGTTTTGGGTACCAGTTTCCTCTCTCCCAGGACGTTTCCTTTTGGGGAAGGAAGCAGGAAGATTTGCCCTGTGTTTAGTAAAACACATCCTTCAGCCTTACTCAGCCCTCTGTGTCCTTGAACCAAGGCATTTTCATGGTAAAGGAGACTTTGATCAACGGCCCCATTTCCAAGGGACAGGGATGTTCTTTAACTTGCACGAAGCACAATCCCTGTCTGTGCCGGAAAGTCCCAAGCTCCGCGGTGCTGGCACTGGCCCCTGGGAAGTAGCAAGTGAGATGAATAGGGAGCCTAGAGCGAAATCTTTGCTTTCATGCAATTTAGTTTCTCTCTACTACTTGCTTAAAATTCTGCGGAACAATTAAATCTTAAAAGTGTCTTGTGAATGCCTTGGGCTCCCTTCTTCAGTTTTATTGATTGTATTTGATATCACTCACAAGAGCGAGAATTTTTTTTTTAAACATTTAATAAAACCGTTTGGTTGCAACCCAGAAAGAGAAAAATCCACAAAGCGAAATAGCATCTAAACTCCAGGAGCAGGCTCAGCTCAGCAAGCGGAAAAACCTCAGGTTGTTCCATCCACAACCTTCCTCGGGTCATCTTTGATCAAGGCCTTGGTTGGACTGAGTGAGGAAATAATCTATGAATGAAGGCTGGGTATTCCTGCCTCTGAGTAATGTAGAGTATCTTTGGGGATAAAGCAGAGAATAAATACTCCAGACAGAAAAAGGCTCAAGGGCCCTTTAAGAAGACAGATGAGCGAAAACGAATGAATATAAGGACCTTCTTTCTCTTCTCTCCACCCAAGCAGGTTACTGATAACTGATTTCCAGGTAACACTGGGAACACACCCTGAATTGGACTTATAACTTCCTGTACCAGGGGATCAAACTGAGTGACTTAATTCCACGTAATTCAGGGGCAAAGGTCTCATGGAAGGTAGAAAACCATCATTAGCAAGCATTTATTTCATTTTTATCTGGTCCCCTCTTAGCAAGTGGTTCACTCATTCTTTTTTCCAAAGGCTTCTAGACGGCTCAGCTGAGGAGGACCCGAGTGAATCCACAGCCTCGGGATGGCTGATTCAGCCAGGAAGTGCTGTCTGAGCTTCTTTTTAAAAACCTAGATGAAAAGGTGTTTGAGAATAACAAAATGTAAGAGCTGCCTCCTGTCTGTCTTGGAAGATGGGCCACCTGCCCACTCCATTTCAGCATGGAGGTGTCACGAGAAGCTTCTAACGCCAGGCCCCTGCAATGATGGAAATGATGGTTTCTCAGCAAAGGCGGAAATGGAGGAGCGAGGAGGAGGTGGAGGAGGAAGGCGATCGCTCCGGGCTTTGATGGCCTTGTGCTTTCAAGTCCCGAGAAAGAAGGATCCGAGCTGTAGCATTCAATACAGAGCTGCAATCTCTGGTGGGGGGTGGGGGGATGTGGCACATCTGCCTTTTATAGGTTTGGAATGAAAAATGCTTTTAATTAAGGAGTGGAATTGGGGCTTTCAGTCTTGCCGCATGCTCCGTACCTGTCAGACCTGCTGGATGGAAGTGGCATTCTGACCTCTCACCCACACCTACTGCAACCAAAGGACTCCAGGGAGGAACTGTGAGCACCTGAGAAAGTCTGAGGGAGCTTGTGGGGCCACAGAATACACCCGCTCTCCCGCCCCATGCAGAGAACCCCTCTTCGCCCGCATCATGGGTGACTTACAGCCTGATGCCAGATGCCCGACTGGAGGAGGAAGGGTGGGTCCGTGTCACTGTTGCCTGTGGACAAGGCTGAGAGCCAGGAAGGCTAGGGGGACTCAACAAAGCTAGAAAAACAAAGATGAAAAATCAGGACAATAAAAATAGAGCATTTAAAAAAAATGACAGTAAAAATTTAGAAATAAAAAATTCAAAAGTGAAACAAAACTAAAAGGTAACACCCTGCCACAGTATTCCCATTTGGTATAAGCCCCCCCACCCCCTCCCCAAAGAACCCCCACCGCAAGGAAAAAACCTCTGTAAAGGGAATGGAAATTATTCTGTGGCAGTGACAGCTCTCGTGGGCGACACCAGCCGCGAGGTTAGGTGGCATCTCTGAAATTTCAGGAGCCAGCCAAGGCAAGGAGCTACCATAAGAAACCACCACTCTCTCCTGGTGATAAAAGATAGATGGTTGCCTGAGCTCAGCTTCTCTTTTTATCCCTATTTTTTTTCCCCTCCGAATGCCTCTTAGCTATAAGGTACTTCCGTATGAGATGTGAGTCCTTCTGTAAAGTACTGGAAGGAGCTCCTGGGAGTTAAGTCACGAGCTAGTAATCCTTTTGGCTAGTTGGAGCCAGGCCTCAGAGCAGCAGAACAGCCCGTGTACCATCTTCATGCTTTTCAGGCCCAAACATTGTACACATTTCTAAGTGCAGTCCCTTTGGTTGACTCATCTTCCTTTCTGCCTTGGAAAATCTCATTTCAATCCTTGAAGATCCAATGAGGGCTGCATTAATTCCTTTCTGGGCCCTAAGTATTCACTACCCCCATCCCCTTATAGGTTAATAAAAGTTGAAAACAATTTTTTTGAAAACAATACGACCTTAAACACATGCACGCTGAAATTAACTCCCCTCCCCATTTCTAATGAAAGTTTTGAACTGTTTTTTCCTGCCCCCTCCTTTCGCGCTCCCTCCCTCTCTCCTGTGTTTCTGCTTTGCTGGATTTTAAATGTTTAACCCGCATATCGGTACTAGCTCTAGATTTGGTTCTAATGTGACCTGCTGGGTAGAGGTTCCCCCTTTGCTAGGCAGAAACAATTGCTCCTCTGTTGTGCCTGCGAATTGCAGCCCTCCCACCCCTCCCTCCTCTTCCCTTCCATCTTTCATTCACAATCTAGAGGATGTAGCACTTATCACATTGTATTACATTGAGCTCTGTCTGTCTACCTTGATCTGCCAGCTGCTTCAGGGCACAAATGTTACCCTTCTTTGCATCTCTAAGTTTAGCACAGTTCTTGGCTCCTGCAAAATGCACAATAATTGTTGAAAGGGACCGAATTCAGAGCAAGGAATGAAAAGAGTCAGAGGAAAACCATGGTAGGTTTCTGAAGTCTTTAAAAAAAATTTTTTTTTAAGGCACCGTCAAAAACGGCTTCCTCCTAATGTATTTGTTTATTTTTTTTGGAGGGGGTGATTAGGTTTATTTCTTTGTTTGTTTGTTTATTTATTTACTTAATGGAAGTGCTGGGGATTGAACCCAGGACCTCATGCTTGTGAAGCATGCACTCTACCTCTGAGCTAGACCCACCCCCACCATCCCTACCACCCCTACCCTCCTCATGCCCTGGGTTTTGAAGTCTTGGTGGAGAAAATTGATGGACTCATGGACTGAAGTTTTATTGTTGTTTGTAAAATTATTTATTCATTTACTTATTTATATTGAAGCATAGTTAATTTACAATACTGTGTTTGTTTCAGGTGTACAGCAAAATGATTTAGTTACATATATATTATTTTTCAGATTCTTTTCCATTATAGGCTATTACAATATATTGAATATAGTTTTGTGTGCTATACAGTAGGTCCTTGTTGTTTATCTATTTTATATATGGGGGTGTGTATCTGCTAATCCCAAACATCTAACTTATCCCTCCCTGACTTTCCCCTTTGATAACCAGAAGCTTGTGTTTTATGTCTGTGAGTCTGTTTCTGTTTTGTAAATAAGCTCATTTGTATAATTTTTTATATTTCATATATAAGTGATGTCATATGATATTTGTCTTTCTCTGTCTGACTTACTTTACTTAATATGATATTGTCTAGGTCCATCCATGTTGTTGCAAATGGCATTATTTCATTCTTTTTTGTGGCTGAGTAGTATTCCATTGTACATATATATATTTATCACACTGAAGATCTATTCTTGATATTCTGCCACCGTTGAAGACAAGGATGGTGTAACTGATCAAATATATCCCCTTATGTAAATTATCATATCATGTCATTGATACTTACATGTAGATATACCCCCATAGTACATTGTTCACCATGCAGAGAGTTAATGAATAAATTAAATTATATTGGTTTCATTTTCATCATTAGACTTACTGTTTTTTTATGATTATGTACAGAAGATTGTTGACTGATTTTTTATCACATTTTGTATCAGGTACTGCATTACAGCCAACAGAAAAAACTGCTAACATTTATTGAGCCCTCATCATGTGCCAGACATTCTTTGAAGCACTTTGCAGATATTAACTTACTTACTGGATGCAACAAACCTGTATGCAGCTCAGACATGATCTGTAATTGGTGCTATATCTTGCGTGGCTGCAAATAAAAATTTCATAATATCCTATAAGCATATGGTGAGCAATACAGTTAGGAATATGGGTAGAAGAGATTTAACTATTGTGATGTAGTGAGAGTATTTATCGAATCCACACCATCACGAATTCAGTTTGGTGGCTTAAGAAAAAAAAAGTTGCTATTTGGGCCCATACACTTTATAACTTGGGGAAAATGGGGTCCAACGTCATTGCCGTGGGGTCAATCTTGGGTGGAGTCTCAGCAAGAGAGCGGGAGAAGGAAGAGGGCCCCACCCTTTGTCATCCACACGTTCTACTCGTCTGTTGGGAGGGGAGGGAGCCGTTCAGCCCCTTTGGTTCATCTGGCTGCCATGATGATCATGGGTCCACATGTTAAAAGAATAGGAGGAGCCACGACTCAACGTGGACTTCCTTCACTGAGCCCTTGGGAGGGATGTTTACCTTGCCCTTTGCCATTATCTCTCGGTGATAGTTCTTGCTGTTAAGTCAAAACGTGGAGGTTGAAAGATCCACAGTCTCAAGGAGGCTGTGATGCCTCACTTTTTGTTTTTGCAGTTGGACACACAACAGGACCTTAATTCATGTTCATTGAGTGAATCAGCAGATTTCTCTCCAGCCTACACTGGCCCTGTGATGGCAATTTGCGGTCTTATTATGTTAGGTTCACACCCTATTAGTATTTATTTTGGTTAATAGAATGCAATTAGGGTGTAATCATATCAGCAGCTTTCAGATCATGTCAAAAAAATAAAAGCTATTGAAATACCAGTGCTAATGTAAAGTGATGGAAAATAGTTACTGTACTGAAAGGCTTGCGTTGCGTTAGGCATGGGGAGAAAGTTGGGGAGTGGGAGGAGTGGGGGATAGGGTCTTTGGCTTCTTCGCAGACTGCTGTCTGAAGGGCTCCTGGGCTCAGGGATGCCTCTGTGTTCTCTCCCTGATGGGGCCATGACACTTTTAAACTTCCTTGAGACAAAGTTCTCTGTTTGGGCGTGACCTAGAAGGTGGTCTTGAGATTGGTAATGGGAAGACAGAGATGGAAAGCTAATTCCAATTTTTCTCTAAGTGGCTGTGTGTCTTAGGCGAGCCTCCTACCCTCTCTGGGTCCTTAGTTCTCACCTGTCGAACAAGGAGAGTGTCCTAGATAATAATAAGGTCCCCTGGCTCTGTTATTATATTTAATGATACTGTGACTTCTCCAAGCCTAAGCTGAGCTATGGTGCATGTTAAGCTGAGCCCATTTTTTTTTTCTTACTGGCTGGTGCAAATCCCAAAGCACTTCAGCCCCATGAGAAGTGTTGGGTACCATTCAGTGCTTGCAGCTCTGTCTAACAGATCTTCTAGAACCTGGGTGGTCAAGTGTGGGCAAATATTTGCTTCAGAGGGTATTAAAACTATGATGCCTGGGTTGGTCACGCTTTCCCATGCTGCAGCCCTTTCCTCAGCCCCTTGGCTGACCCTGATTCCTCCACCCATTGAGGTTGGGCAGGTAGAAGATTCTGGAAATGAAGCCAAGTGAAGAGGAAAGAGTGGTCCAAGAGCCAGGTACCATTTTCCAGTGGTCCTTTCGTTTGGGCGTCTCTGGCTCCTTCGTGGAAGGGTGCAGTGACATCTCCAGGCCCTGGTCCAACTTCCGGATTCCTGGGTGTCTCTGAAGCCTGGCCACAAGAAGACAATTGTTTGGGGTTTGCAGGGGATGGGGCCGGTGGTGCAACCCCGAGGAAATAATTAACACACATTTTAGAGGAGAAACTTGCAGCCGGAGCCACACTTGTGGTGGTGCATACATCTCGCAAAGAATTGTTATTTAAGCAATAATCCTTGAGAAATTGGTCGTTACCCGCATTAAACGACTCAGCCCATTGCCAAGGATGGTTAACGCTCTAATAAACTGGTCATTAACTGCAGTAACAATGAATTTCGAGGGGATTATTGCTATTATAAACCTTAATCAATGGTTTATAACAGCAGTAATGTGGTCCTTTCTCTTAATGGTAAGTAGGGCAGCTTGCGCCATCGCCTTGAAAATGTTTTTGTGGTGGTTGATGAGTCAGAGGGGAGGTCTTCCCAGGACTGCCCACCCTTCCGGAACACAGCAGGGAAGGCAAAAGACACCCCAGGGGCTCTTGACTGCCCACGCTCTGTACTGCAAGGATCAGGTGTGGAGTCAGGAGCGAGAGGTTCTCTTCCAACCCCCGTGGTCCTTCCCCATCCCAGACCCAGCAGGGCTCAGGGTGTGGGGATGCTGGGGTGGGCCTGTCTGGCGAGAGACTCAGAACTGAGATTGTGATTCAAAGTGGGTCTCCTCATGGGTGGGTAGTGATAAGGAAGGAGAAATGACCACGGACTTAGGGGCAAGGAGTCTGCTCCAGGTTCAGTTCTGTCGCTAACTGGTGATGTGACGCCAGAAAAAATGGTACCACTTTCATGAGCCTCTGAAGGGTGGCGCTTGGAATCAATCCCCTCTCAAGTCCCTTTCTGGGATAGCACTCTGTGGTTCTCGTAATGTTGGCATCTTATATGAGTTTGCCATTATTAACTTACATAACCCTGGGTATTGTTCTTAGTTGTTTGCATATATTAACTCATCCAGTTCTCACAACAACCCTGATTCTGTTATCAAGGACCCTGAGGCAGAAGAGACTGAGAAACTTGTCTGAGCCCATAGCCAACCCCAGGTGGAGCTGGGGTTTGAACACAGGAAATCTTCCACCTTACACTCTACCATCTCTCTAGAAGTCGCCCTTCATTATTTAATTTGACCCTCACATCCTTTGAGGTAGGCTGGTTGGGGCTACCATATTGGTTTTACAAATGAGGACATTCAAGGATCTGAGAAATAAAGGGACTTGCTCAAGTTGATGCAGAGGGTCTGGGTCCTACCCAGGTGGACCTTCTGCTTCTGGCTGTGGATGGGCCAGGATGCTGCGCCAGGAGCTTCCAGACCAGGAGTGTCTCTCTCCAGTGATGTGGGCTGGGTACATGTGGCACATCCGATGCCAGGCTGCTTGTCATTGGGATCGCCTCCAACAAAAGGAAGGGGCAAAGCTCATCCCCTCCCACATCGTTGGAAGCATGCCGAAGGAGACAGGAGTTCTGATCTTTTTTCCAGTCTGGCTTAGAATGCATGGGAAAGTGGACTTGCAGTAGACTTTGGGTACTAAAATTTTTTTCTTTATTATAGAAAATAGAAAATATACATCAAAGGAGAGTATAATGCGTCCCCATCTAATCATCACTGACATCAAATCATGACCTGTCTTGTTCCATCCAACCAGCTCCCCCATCCCTTCTCACTCTGGATTATTTTTGAGTAAACCACAGGTAGCACACCATCTCATCTGTTATCACTTCAGCATGCATCTCTAAAAGTTAAGGATTCTTTAAAACCATAATCACCATACTGCTGTTGAATCTTAAAAATTAACAGTAATTTCTTAGTATCATCAACTATGCAGTCAGACTTCAGATCTCCCAGCTCATCTTGTAAATGTATTGGGTTTTATTCTTGCTCCAGCTTCTCACGCGCTCTGTGACCTAAGACAAATGCCTTCCCGGGTTTGTTTCTGTTTACACATTCTGTAGTTCAGGGTGTGTAGTTGGTGCCCCTTCTCTTCCATCCCTGGGCGCTGAGTGGCTGAAAGGAGGCTCTCACTGGAAGGTCCTTCAGTGGCAGAACCTCTTATGAAGCCACATTGTCATGCCTGGGTCTTCTCTGCAGACCCAGGGAGAACCTTTGAGAAGATGTCCTCTTTTGAACTTGACCTTCCTCTCTTCTGGCACACTCCAGAGGGCAGACTGGTTCTGGGGATGGAGGCAAGGAGAGAGCAATCATTCACGCCAGCCCTGCCTCCCTGCCAGGCAGCGTGTCTGCAGAGGAAACAGGAGCATCTTTGTGAATTTTCTCTGGGAGAGGAGCAGAGTTGATGCTGGCTGCAGAGAGACCATCAGTAAAGTGATGCTGCCCGTTCACAGC